TACAAGGTGGTGTTGGTTTAGTTCAATCGACACAGAATTATTTATGGATTCCAATTGGCCAAGTAATTATAACAATACTACAAATGATTTTTTAGTATTAAATTTTATATCTATTGATTAATTTCTTTCAATTAGTACACAACTCGTGAAATATCTGTTAAAATGTTTGAACATTTACATGGGTAAATTAAATTTGCTAATGATAAATATTATTAAAGTCACCAAGTATATTTTTCTCAAATCAAAACTTTTCTTTTTTATAATTATATATAGGCTTTCATTATCTTATCATATAAATCGTAAAACAGGAGAGGTTTTGAGAGTTATGGATCGTGGAACAAATAGTATAATCACTTTACTCAACCAAATCTTATTCCAAATTTTTCCTGTGATTGTCGATATCATTGTTGCTGTTGTATATTTTGTTATTAGATTTGGATGGGTATTTGGTGCTATAGTATTCATCACCATGACTACTTATATTTTTTTGACTATTTGGATTACTGAATGGAGAACGAAATTCAGGCGTGAAATGATCGAATTAGACAATGACACTAGAGCCAAAGCAGGTGATTAATTGATTAGTCAATTTTGTCGATTACTAATGATAAACAATATCTAATTATATTATTAAGGAACTAATTTTCCTTTATTTATAAAATTTTTAGTTGATTCTCTTTTAAATTTTGAAACTGTTAAATATTATAATGCAGAGCAATTTGAAATTAGACGTTATGATGAATCCATAAAAAAATTTCAAGTAGCTGATTATAAAGTAGCCAGTTCTTTAAATATTTTAAATCTTGGTCAAAATTTTGTTATTACACTTGGTTTATTAGCTGGCTGTTTGATTTGTGCTAAAAATGTAGCAAGTGGTGACTATACGGTTGGAAAATTTATACTTTTCGTAACATATATTAATCAACTGTACACTCCAGTAAGTTTCCTCTATAATAACAATAATAACATTATTATTATTATTATTATTATTATTATTATAAGTATTATTATTATTATTATTGTCAGTAATTTAAAAATTAAATTTAAAAAAATTTTTTTTGTAGCTTAATTTTTTTGGTACTTATTATAGATTGATTCAACAGAATTTTATTGATATGGAAAAAATGTTCCTATTATTTAAAGAAAAACAAAGTGTTCAAGATGATCCTAATGCATCAGAACTAAATGTTACTGACGGAGAAATTATATTTGGTATTTATAGTTTAACTTGATTGATAAGGCTATACGATTATATATATATGTATTGTATCTTAATATATTTTTTTTAATCAATTTAGACAATGTTGGGTTTTCATATGATTCTAGGAGTGAATCATTAAAAAATATATCATTTACAATTCCTAAAGGTAAAACTGTAGCTTTGGTTGGGCCTAGTGGCGGAGGGTAGGAGTTTAAGGATTTTTAATTATCAATTTTTTTAAAATTCTCTAAAGTAAGATTTTTTTTAACATTTTAATTTATATTTCTATCAGAAAATCTACCATATTACGTTTATTATTTAGATTTTATGATGTCAACTCGGGCCAAATATTAATTGATGGACAAGACATCAAACATGTTACACAAGAGAGTTTACGTAAAAATATTGGTGTCGTACCTCAAGACACAGTACTATTCAACGATACTATTTTTTATAACATACATTATGGAAATGTAAATGCAAGCGATGATGAAGTATATAAAGCTGCAAAATCTTCTCAAATCCATGATAAAATCTTAAGTTTTCCAGATGGTATGTATAAAATGATTAATTTATAAAGTATATAAATTTTTAATAGAATTATTTAATGTGACTTAGGTTATGAAACGCGTGTTGGAGAACGTGGTTTAAGATTAAGTGGCGGCGAAAAACAAAGAGTCGCAATTGCTAGAACAATCTTGAAGGTTTTTTTTTAAAAAATTCAATATTATTTTATTTTATTAATTATAAATTACTATTTATCTAATTCTCACGTATTATTATTATTAAAAACAAAAAGAATCCTCCGGTATGATTAATTAATTAGTCAGTTCCATTGATTGTTGTTGTTTTTTTTTTGATTAATAGTAATCTAAATATGCAAAATATTTTTTATAGATTATTTTACTTGATGAAGCTACATCTGCTCTCGATACTACTACTGAACGTCAAATACAATTTGCTCTTTCACATATGACAAAAGACCGCACAACTTTAGTCATTGCACATAGATTAAGTACAATAGTCAATGCTGACTTAATCCTTTGGTAAAAAATTTTCTTTGAAAAAGAAAGAAATGTAAATATAAACATCTCAATATTTTACATTAAAAAACTTTTTGTTTTTTTATTATTAGTATCAAAGATGGTCAAGTTATTGAGCAAGGAACTCACGATGAATTATTAAAACAAGCGTTGGAAAAAGGAGGAGAAGGTAAATAAATGAATGTCATAATATATATACATACATCGTAGTGTAATGTTTTAAATGTTTAATTACTTTATAATGAAAATAGGTGTGTATTATGAAATGTGGCAAAAACAATTACGTGACGAATCTGAAGGAACAAATCAGGACAGTGAAGAAGGGAATAGTAAAAATGCAAAAGAAATTGAGCCACCGAAATAAATTATTATTTTTTTGTTATTTATTTATTTAATAAATTTTTATATAGCTTTTGCCATGTATTTTTTAGTAATAGTACAATGTTAATATTATTTAATAATTATTGTTTTTCTGATAAAGCGGTAACACCTGGTAATTCTTTGCCTGAAAAGAATAACGAGAAAACAATAATAGTAACATTAATCAGTTTGTTGAAACCCCCCCCCCCAATTAATTAATTAAGCAAAATGTTATTACCTTCTAGTAATTCTAAAGATGCACCCCCACCAGTAGAAACATGAGAAATTTTATCTTCTGAATTCCATTTCGCAACAGCAGTAGCAGTATCACCACCACCAACAATTGTTGTAGCACCATTTTTTGTTGCCTCAACTACTGCATCCAGTGCATATTTTGTACCATTTGCAAATTTTTCGAATTCAAACACACCAGTTGGACTAGCAGTTTTACAAATAATTTTTGTTAAAAGTAAATTGATATCAACACACACGCACACACACACACACACATATATATTTACCCATTCCAAAGTATGGTTTTGGCTTTGAGAATTGTATTTCTGAAAATTTCATTGGATTTTTCGCCAGAATCTAAACCTAACCAATTTTCTGGTATGCCTGTTTCATCTGTTGCGTATCCAGTCTATGAATGAAATAAACTAATAATTAATAATTATAATTATATAAACTTTTCTAAAAAAAATTTTTAAAGAAAAAATACATTAGCATTTGGATCAAATTTATCAGCAGTAATATAATCAATAGGAAACACTAGATCGACGTTATTTTTTTTAGCCTTCTCAACTATTTGTCCCACAATTTTAGCTCCATCTTCATCGAACAAAGATTTGCCAATCTAAAATAAATAAAGTTATTGATTATTGACAACAATTACAACAACAATAATAACAATAATATAATAATATGAATTTATTGTTAATTTACTTCAACATTTCCAAGTGTCTTCTTAAATGTAAAAACCATTCCACCTATAAATTATTTAACTCTATAAAAAACTATTTAAAATAAATTTATGATTTAAAAAATTTTATAAATCAATTACCAGTAATAATCATTGAATTAACTTTATCAAGTAAATTATCGATCAATTTGATTTTATCTGAAACCTTGGCACTAGATTTATTTTGAAATCGTTTTTTTATTAGAAATTTTTATTATTGAAATAATTAAATTAATTAATAAACTTGAAAAATTTACCCGCCAAGAATAGCCAAAAATGGTCTTTCAGGGTTTTCCAAAGCTTTTCCAAAGAAATCCAATTCTTTTTTTAATAAAAATCCAGCCGCTCTTATAGGTAAATTAACACCCACCATAGAGCTGTGAGCCCGATGGGCTGTACCAAATGCATCATTAACATATATGTCACCAAGTTTTGATAATGATTCACGAAATTTTGTTACTTCTTCTTTTGATGGTTTAATCTATATTTCATAAATTATTAAAATCATTAAAATGATACATCTACATATGTAATATTTTATAAAGATACTATTTTTTGAGGAGGGAGAAAAATATGTAAATGTAACAACCTTGTTTCCTTGATCATCTTTTGCTGAACCTTCTTCTTCAATATGAAATCTAAGATTCTCCAATAAAATTACTTTGCCTAAGTAAACAAGCCAACAAAAATACCACTTATATATTTAGTTGTAGATATTGATATATTGATATATTGATTGGTAGTAAAAAGTTTATTAAAAAATCTTGCCATCAGTTGCTTCAAAAGTAGCCTTTTCAACATCAGGACCAACGCAATCATCTAAAAACAAAACATCCTTGTTTAAAAGTTTGCTTAGTTCAACAGCGACAGGTTTAAGAGAATATTTTGGATTAGATTTTCCATCTGGTCTACCAAGATGAGACATTAAAATAACAGCTTTTGCTTCTATTAAAATTTTTTTAAAAAAATGAGACTATTATAAAAAAAAGTAAATTCATAAACAAAATAATAATAGAAAAATGAATGAAGAATACATTACTGTTATCTAAAGCATGTTTAATTGTAGGTAAAGCTGCTGAGATTCGTTGATTATTGGTAATTTTTCCATCTTGAAAAGGAACATTAAAATCAACTCTAATACATTTGATTATTAGTTTGTATGTATGTATGTGTGTATACTTTTTTAAACAATTTATTTTTTTACCTCATTAAAACACGTTTATCCTTAACATCAATATCTTGAATGGAGAGTTTATTGCTTAGACTAGTTTTTGACATTTTTTTTTTCTTTTAATTGATCGATAAATAATTAAAGATAATTTGAAGATGGATTTGTTTCGACTTGTGATGATCTAACCAAATTTCATATAGAGTTCATTCAACCTAGCCGAAAATTCCCATTCATGGGAATGACTTAGTTTTGTAAAAAAACAAGATGGATATTATTCGAGAAGCTCAGATAATTCAATCTTTTGATCAAGAATCATCTGATGATGATATTGAGTTAGAAGAAAGTGGTGATGACTAGAACTGCATCTATGTTAAGATTTCAAATATGAATTTTATGATCATTTTCCAAGTTCTGATGACTCTAATCTAACGACAACACCAAGAACAATTATTTCATCAATGCAATCAATGCAATTACCATCAATAAACGATATTATTAATAATAATCCTTTAGGTTTTAGCGGAGCATACTCAATGACTACACTTGGGTTTTTGTATAGAGGCTTGTTTTTGTCAACTAGAAAACAGCGACGAAAGTTCATTTTATTTTGTCTAAAGGATATTGAGATATGGCATCCTATCTATGAATCTCTTGATTTACTTCCTTCATTATAAATCATGACCAGTAATAAAGATCGGATGAATAACATATTGTGCCTAAACTTTTACAAAAAGCAACCAACCTACAACGAAAAGTTAAGTTGATTGGTGGACCTGTCATATTACAACGATTAAATATTCTTTGAATCGTGGCGGATTAAAGGACTCGCCCGCATTTTTTTGTGTTCTGTGTAATTTACACTTATGAAATCATTTAACTAGTAATCACGATGATGATGGTAATAATATAGGTGTAGATAGTGAGTGATATTGTTGTTGACTATTTTGATGAAGCCCTCTATAATAATAATAATAATTATTATTTATTTATTTTATAAAATAAAATAAAAATTTATTATTATTATCTTTATATTTTTATAGTCATCACTCATATACATTATTTCTTTTTGTATTTCCTTCCTATATTATATTATAAATAAACTAGTTCTTGATTGTATGAAACATTAGCTCATGGGTCAGCTACAGAAAATTATGCATATAAAAAATTGGTCCTTGTTTTTAAAAAAAATCTATAGCAAAAATTAATTGTTTAATCTTGAAAAAGGAGTGCGAACCAAAATTGACTTTTTATTTGCGTTCTATGATTAACGGTTAAAGAAATACAAAAAATATATTATCCCTCCAGAAATCGCTCTTGTGCACTCCAATCTTATTAAGTATCCACACGGTATCAATTGGCCGTTGAGGTCGAGTAGTAGAGTCGAAGGACGCATTGGAGTGAAGTTTGCAAATGTTTTCGTGTAAGTTCAATTGCACTTGTAAAATGAAATGCACGGAGAGAACTTTCATCTCCTCGATTGTTTTGTTGGAAACTGTCAGTCACAGATGCATTCGCCACCGTTGGATAATTTTGCAATGTGTGGTGATTATCCAATTGTGATTTGGAGTCTTATCAAGTTGTTTATCCTACTTACCAATATTCTCACCTGGTGGATACGGACATTCTAAAAATAATGTGGAAAAGGGTTAACTATAATCAATGGCTTGCATTATACTTGCTAGTTTATGTTGTCTTCTGTTTTGTATACCTGTGCTTCCTGTCATGTGAAATATATTATTTTTAATGCACGCGAAATTGATTTTGATTATTGATTGATTATTCACCTTCCCACAACTGAATAATAATGATGACATCAGCGATAATTAAAGCAGGAAAGGCAAACGGTGGAGCCTAGAGAATGTGACATGAGCGGAAATGAGGGCCAAAAAAGTTGGCAGAGTGCGAAAATACGCCATACATGCCACACATACCAGCCAGCTAAGAAGTGTACACATTGGAAGGATAAGTGGACTAGGTAAACCACGTGAGAGGTGGTAATTTTTTGTAAAAACGTAGACATCTTAATTGTTACAAAGAGAGAGAAAAGAACCTTTATACTTGTTTAGGATAATAATTATTACAAGAAACAATCAACACTTGTTAGACTCATCTATATAGTAAATGCGCGAGAGTCATGGTACAGTGCGTAACATCATAAGCCATCACATAAAAATGGACTAATTTTAAAACCTAAAAAGGAAATACTGAATGGTT